GTGCCGTTAATGGTCTAATAACATTTTTACATTTGGTATTCAAATTTTCAAACACTGGGGTCTCTATCAACACCTGCCTTGCATCAGGGTCTGATACAGTTTTGTTCAGGCTAAGACTTATCTTTGTTAAAAAAAAAAAATATGGTGAAGGCTTCTCTAGAGCCTTGTAAACAAGGTAGACTTTTTCCAAAGCTCCTGAACGTTGTCCCAAGCTCTTAAAGCCACTAAGTGACATTGTTTTACGGTAACATCATCAAATCAGATCAATTCTTGTATGTCTCATTACCTCCCTTCACACCTAGCAACTGGTCTTTGACTCTATATTCATTCCCCTCACTCTGTTTCACTGTTCAATATTTATGGCTTCTTTTCTCCACCATATTAACCATTATGACTTCATACCAGCCTCTAGTACAGTTGTTACCAATCCCTTCCAGTTTTGGGGAATAATTCTGTTTTGAATATAAAGCAAGTACATCCCATACAAAATCACTGCCTCTTTTAGATCTACCAATTCTATAGGACTCCATCCTGTTTCATTTTTTGAGGATTTATTTATTTTATGTATATGAGTACAATTATAGCTGTCTTCAGACACACCAGAAGAGGGCGTCAGATCCCATTACAGAGGTTGTGAGCCACCATGTGGTTGCTGGGAATTGAACTCAGGACTTCTGGAAGAACAGTCAGTGTCCTTGAGCCATCTCTCCAGCCCCCTATCCTGTCTCATCTTAACCTTGTTCCCCACCATTAGCAGGCATCTGCTAATTCTGGGAAAACTGATGGTGACCCAGGGCCACCTCTCCTCTACTTCTGGCCACCCAGCTGGTTTGAGATTAACCCTTTCTCTTGATACGAGCAGGTTCATCAGATTGTCCTCCCACTTTTTCAGATTTTCTCTGACCCCCTGGTACAGATTCCCACTCTTTTACTCAGTCATCGGGTCTGAGCCCTTTTGTTCTCGTCTCTGGTGCTCCTCACTTTCCAAGAGCTTCCACCTCCACCTGCAGCCTCTCCAGTTGCACCACCAACTCTGCAGCCTTTTCAGAAATGAGAGCTCAGAGTGATTCTTTTGTTTTCCCACTTCAGCCGAGATTTTTTTGTTTCTCAGGCTCCTCCATTTCCACCTGCAGTTTTTCCCACTGCCCAGCCAGTCTTTCAACAAATTTGAAACAAAATATACAAAGAAAAAGAAAACCAAGAAATCTCTGGAAGCAAATCAGGGATATCCCAGTGGTAGCGGCTGCAATAAATTTTTTACCTTTTGGAAAAAAAAAATCCCTTGTCCCCTGCTGTTTTCTCTATGGCATTTGAAATCAAAGTTTCCATTTTTTTTTTCATCACATGTTGGGTGCTATAGTCTTTGCTACTTTGTGGGTTCTTCTTTTTTTCACTTTATTACCCCCCCACCCCCGTTTCACCCCTAGTTAGGAGAGGAAGAAGGATAGAGGAGGGGGCAGAAAGAGAGAGAGAGAAAGAGAGAGAAAGAAAGAGAGAGAAAGAGATCCTTGAATCTAATTTCTTTTTTCTTTGAGCAGGACTACTAACAAACCACAACCAACACCCCTGAAAGACCAGCAACCACCCACCACACCTATCAGGGCTGTAGCATTTATATACCCTCAGAAAGGCTCCCAGAATTACAATTCTTACACAATTGCAGAAACTGCAGCTGGCAGAACCACGCCTCTGCTAAAGCATGAGGCAAATCATAGTCAGCTACTATGCAGCAGCCACATATCCCACACCTGAGGTTAGGACAGAACACTTTCTTATAATATTTCTGTGTTTTAAACGAAACCCAATTCCAGAATTCTCACTACACACTACAGACTCCCCAGCTCACGGGCTTTCCCCCCTCAGCTCCTCACTCTCCTTATAACCTTGCTATTTTGACTGCACACTCTATTTTGTTTTTGTCTCCTCCCACCCCTCCTTTTTTTGTCTCTTTTTCTCTTACTCTCCCTCTTCTCTCTTATGCCCCTCATCCTATGTTCCTATGTCTTTCTACTTCTCTTCTGCTTCTCTCTTGGCCAAGATCAGTCTGCAGCTGTCTCTGCTCTAGATTCTTCCAGATGCCTCTGGCTATTTTCTCTCTCATATGCATAATAAAATCCTTCCCCTCAACAATACTATGGAGCAGTCTTGTCCTCAGTTTAGGGAGGTGTGTGTGTGTGTGTGTGTGTGTGTGTGTGTGTGTGTGTGTGTGTGTAGGACATGAAGAGATAAAACCCCTGCCTAGCATGCTAGACAGATAGATTCCTGTTGAACTACCTCTGCAGCCCAACAGATAACATCTAATTGCTAGTTACTTGTCTTCTTATTCTTAGTAGGCTTTTTTTCTCTCAAGACAGGGTTTCTTGTGGAGCCCTGGATGTCCTGACACTCATGCTGTAGACCTGCATGGCTTCTAACTCACAGAGATCCACCTGTTTGTGCAGTTTGGGTCCTGGGATCAAAGATGTGCACCACCACCACCACCCAGCCTTCTTATTCTTAATAGTTTTGTTGGAGCATTACCTATATATCATGATGTCAGTTCCTAAATAAATAGTTGCTAGTTTCTAGTGTATTCAGTTGTATGGCAATCATGAGTATCTCATTCTAGATGGAATGTGGGTTATCCTGAGGTATTACAATCACTACTCTGACAGACATGTTTTCCCATATTTCCTACCTTTGGAAAATTTTGTTTTACAAATAATATGTTATTCACAGAATAGTAACAAAGTATAAATAATGAAGCTGTTTACCTCATTACTCATATTCATTTACTTTCTGGAGTTAATGAAGCCTAGAACTATCCATCCTAAGTCTTTGGAGTCTCCAGTACAGGAGTCACTGGACTGAAGGAGTTGTGGAAGGAAATACAGCAAGGGGCAGGCTGTGTTCAACAAGCAAGCAGCTTGATGATGGAGGCTAAAGCGTGTGGTCAGAAACTACCTGTGCTTTGGAGTCCTCTCCCTATGAGTGCTTGTATGTACCAGTGCTTTCGTGGTAGCAGGGCTGTGTGTGGCTGCGGGGGATTTGGGAAGATGTTCTTGTGCTTGTCTTTGTGGCAGTCATTCTCTTTATTGACTTAAAACCATGATGTTATGTTTACTGCAGAACAGAGCCAGGGCTTTGGTCTTTCTCTTGGACTTCATGTGGCTTTCTTTTGTCACCTTCTCAACATGTCTTTTGAGACTGTTCTGTTTATTCTCGGAGCTTGTGTTTTGTGTCTCTCCAGACAAGATCTGGGAAGTACATGCAGCACGCTCTTCTGACCTTACTACTACATATCATTCTACATGTATGTAAGTCCTTCTCCTCCATGCCAGTGGGGTGTGTGTGTGTGTGTGTGTGTGTGTGTGTGTATGTATGTATGTATGTATATATGTGTGTACACAGGTCTTTTATGGAGTACTGGGAAGCAATCTATAAAACTCATGGTTTAAACAAGCTGTCACATTATTCTTTTTTTTTTGGCCACAGTTGACTGTCTGATGCACATGACAGGTTAGTATTGGAGTTGAGGTTAGGCCCTGCCAGCTGCTCCTGTAGTCAGGGACAGCTGCTCCTGGTCTCCTACCCTGGGTAACAGCTGTCTGGTGTTCTTTCCTAGGCCCTAACCTGCCTTACTGGCCTTGTCTGTTCCTAACATTTTGGGGATGTTACTCTCAGGAAAGACACAGATTTGTGTTGAGTGTTCCTGGTTGGTTGAGCGACCCAGATTTCCCACTGGAACCCTAAGAAGAACTCATGGATTTAGGAACCTAGAAGTTCCTGATACTCATGAGGCAGATGTACAGTCTCAACACCCCTAACCTTCATGGATCCATGGTTACCTGGGTGTTTGCTTAGGTCCCCTGTGCTGGAGAATACTGGGGTGTAGTAGTTGGGATGTTTGGGAGAGGCCTGGCTTCTGGTTGTCCTCAGAGGTGTGTGTGCTCAATTCTTTCAACATCTGAAGCATTTCATCTTTTTTCCTCAGAGGAGAAATGCAAGTTTAGTGTTTTAATTTTTTTTAATTTTAATATATAGTTACCTTATATTATGTGTATGAGTGTTTCCTCTACATGTATGTATGTATACCACATGCACGCCAATACCCTAAAGAGGGTATTGGACCCCTAGACCTGAAGTTAGGGATGGTTGTGAGCACCATGTGGATGCTGGAAACCAAACCTGCTCTTCTGCAAGAGCAGCATGTGTTCTTAACCATGGAGCCATGCCCCCTGCCCTGCACGTTTAGGGGTTTCAGTGCTCTGGGGTTAATGTGGAAACCACTTACAGTTTCACTATGTGGGAGAAAGACTCCAGACCAACATCACATTTTAAACTTCGATCACTGATGATATTAAAAGGTTTCTTCTGGGGCTCAGATTTGGGAGAAGTACAGACAGTGTGGGGCCAGGAATTGTGTAAGGTTGTATGGAGAAGCTATGAAAACTGATCCCGTGTTCTGGATGCCAGGAGTCAGGATCTTGCCGGGCTGTGCTCCCATTGAAGGCTTCAAGGACAATCCTTCTTTGCTCTTTTCTTAGCTCTGGAGGCTCCAGTCCTAGACACACCTGATCTGGTAGCTGCTTCCCTCCAGTCTGTGCCTGTATCCTCACCCATTTTCTTCCCTCTGGCTGCATCTATATCTAGACTTCCTTCTCTGATTCATGTGTCAATACTGGATTTAGGGTTTTCTTAGTCCACTTGGATTTCATCGTGATTAATCACACCAATAAAGAGCCTACCTATCTCCAAGCATGGGTGCAGGGTAGAACTTGAACACATCTTTGGTGGTTAGGGACATGGTTTACCTGACTCCTGAGGGCAGTGACGTTCAAATCCAGAACTCATCTGTGACCAGGGAGAGGCAGGTTGTACAGGCCAGTGGTATGCAAAAGACTGGCTGAGGACAGAACCAGAGCCACTTAAGATAAAGCCTTTGGGGACTTCTTGACTGTTCCCACAGAGCTATGCAAACACCATGTTCTAGGAACAAACATCTTTCCTTTTTTAAGCAGGAAACTACTTTGCTTCGCACTTTTTCATGGGAGGAGAGAAATTTGACACTCCTCATCCTGAAGGTTACCTCTTTGGAGAGAACATGGACCTGAACTTCCTGGGCAGTCGTCCAGTCCAGGTGGGTCTTGGTAGGGCTGGCACTTGTGGCTGGGGTGATTAAGTGGGAAGACTGTCTCAGTTGCCTCTCTCCAGCTGTGAGGACGAGCAGGCATCAAGTTACCCGAGATGGGACAGAGCTGCAACAGCTGAGCAGAGCCGAACACAGGCATGTGACTTGGACTGTGTCCTGGCGCTGCCTCTGAGAGACTAGAGTCAGCATTGGGTCACTGAGAGACAGAATAGCCGTTATTGAGTTGATGCCTCTAGAGTGCACAAGTTAGAGATTTCATTCTAGGCCTTTTGTGTGAGTAGAAAGAGCAGCCATATTCTGTGGAACGATGGAAAAGAGCCATGATCCCACAGGGAATGCGAGTGCTGAGAGGACTTCAGTAATTGGTAAAAATACACACAGTTAAGCATATTTGGCCGTTCTTTCAATATACACTTGGCAACTAGTGTATGTCTAGGGCTATTAGGTAGGGACTGGAGATGGAAGTCAGACCTTTTTCATTTCTGAGATGGTAAGAATCATAATGAAGAAAATATAAGATGAACAGTTAAAAGAAAAAGAGAAAGGAGGAACAGAAGAACAAACAAAAAGGTGACAGGGAGAGGTCCCACTGCAGAGTCCATAGTGAACTGAGCTGTGCAGGATGGGGAGGAGGAGCTGGAGTGGCCTATCCCAGGCTCGCACCATAGCAAGTCTGCAAGCCAGTTGTCAGGAAGTGAAAGAGGGTGTTGGGGTTCTCTAGAGTAACAAAGTGTGTGTGTGTGTATGTGTGTGTGTGTGTGTGATTTATTAGAATGACTTACAGGCTGCAGTCTTAACTAATCCAACAATGACTAGCTGTGAAGGGAAAGTCCAAAACTCCTTTAGTTGCTCAGTCCACTAGGCTGGCTGTGTCATCTGGTCTTCAGTGTACACTGGAATCCCAAAGAAGTAGGCTGTGCTATGGAGGATGTGCCTCCTGTCTTAGGGTCAAGTGCTGTGGTTAGACACCACGTTCAGAAGCAGTGTAGGGATGAAAGGATGTATTTGGCTTATAGATCTTGAATCATAGTCCATGGAGGAAAGCCAAGGCAGGAACTCAAACAGGGCAGGAACTGGAGGCAGGAGCTGATGCAGAGGCCATGGAGGAGTGCTGTCTACTGGCTTCCTCCTAGTTCCACCTTTCTTTTCTTTCTTTTTTTTTTTTAACTTTAGACTTGTTTTTTGTTTTGTTTTCATTTTTCTATTCTCTCATATGTTATTACATCCTGACTGTAGTTCCTCCTCCCTCCTCTCCTCCCAGTTCCTCCCTCATCTTCTTTCCCACCCAGTCCATTCCTCCCCTCTTTACCGTCAGAAAAGATCATGCCTCCCAGGCATATCAGTGAAACATGGCATATCAGTTTGCAATACGTCTAGGCACCTCCCTTCATATTAAGGCTGGAAGAGGTAGCTCAGTAGGAGGAAGAGGGTCCCGAAGCATCAACCCGCTTTCTTAGAGACTCCAGCCCACAGTGGGCGGGCACCCCCATATGATTTTTAATTATGAAAGTGCCCTACAGGCTTGCCCGCAGTCCGATCTCATGGAGACATTTTCTCAACTGAGTTCCCTCCTCTCTGATGACTATAGCTTGTGCTAAGTTGATATAAAACTAGACAACACTAATCCTGTGAGTTAGAATCCAGATGGTCAAATGGGCTTTTCAGTAAGCCCTCAGGAGATGAGGGAGCCTAGGACAAGAAAGACTCCCTATTGGATTGGGTTGTGTGACTGTCTTAGGATGGACCAGGTCAGGTCAGGTGAGAAGGAGCAGAAGAGGATTTGCATTGATGGGCAGGGCTAATGAGACTAGGTCTAGGTGTGATGCCAAAGAAGAGGGTTCTCGAGGAGAGAAATAGTGGTCAGGGACGAAATCCCCGAGCAGAGTCTTTAAGTGATAGGCAAGACAGGAGCCCTCTCTAAGGATCACTGAGTTTCATTCTTTAACATACAACATGGCTGTGTCCTGAGCATCCCTTAGGCACAGTGAGTGGCCTTCAGACCAGGAGCTTCAGAGGTAGTGTTAGTCCAGAGCAGGTAGCTAACACAACATCTTGGTCTGTAGTATGTCCTGCAGGCCAGGGACTGGGGTAGGTGTTCTTCTCTCCTACCTGGGAACCAGCGTGGGAGCTCTTCCTTCTCTCATTGGTTGCTTCAACTTCCAGAGTCTTAATTGCTGTGAATCTTCTGTGAACTTTTCAGTTTCAAAGAGAATTATTTATGAGTATCTGTCTGTATAGATGAGGCATGTAGTATCTGTGTCTGTATGTATGAGGCATGTAGTGTATGTATGTATAGATGAGGCATGTAGTAATGTGTCTGTCTGAGGCATGTAGTATCTGTGTCTGTATGTATGAGGCGTGTAGTATCTGTGTCTGTATGTAAGAGGCATGTAGTATGTGTCTGTATGTATGAGGTATGTAGTATGTGTCTGTATGTATGAGGCATGTACATGTAGTACCATGGACACCAGGAGAAAGAATCACATCCCCGGAACTGAAGGTAAATGTGGCTGTGATGTGGGTACTAAGAGTAGAAGGCAGACCTTTGGGAAGAGCAGCCAGTGCTCTTAACTGTTGAGGCATCTCTCCAGCCTGCAGACCTTTTATGTTTACTTTGTGCTGAGACAGGTGGGGTCCCCCTGGGTTATGATGAAGAGCGTGTTCAGTCTGCTTTACCCAGCTTCATCATCTCTTCAGGAGGATTCCCTTTCAAGCTCCAGCACAATGTTGTTGGCAGAAGACATGGATGTGTCCAGTCATAGTTTCATGTCAACAGTTGTATGTATTTTTATATAAGGGTATAATTAAACGCATGTACACATGTATATGTGTTGTCTTTCCAAAGACTTGTTGGTGTGTTTTGCAAACTGGTTATCTTGGTTGGCAGCAGTAAGTTGTAACTGACATAGGAGAGTGCCCCAAGGGCCTATCCATGGCCACTTCTGAGCCTCCCGCACAGACTGAGGACTGCGGCTCGGTCAGTCACTCAAGTCACTGTGTGGGCCAGACACAGCCCACAGCCTGGCCAAATTTTAATAAATGAGCCCTTAACTCCTGCCTCCTGTTCTCTGCTGCATCTTAGAGTCTTGGCTTCAGGAGTGTTCACTTCTATTCTTCTCTCCTAGTTTCCCTATGTCACCCCTGCCCCCCATGAGCCAGTGAAGACACTGAGGAGCCTGGTAAACATTCGCAAAGACTCTCTCCGGCTTGTGAGGTAATTCCTTTAGTGCTGCCCTCCTGGGGACCCTGTATAGTGCAAGGCTTTGGTTTGTCCTTGGGAAGTGGGCCAGGGGTATTTTAAGGGCCCAGTCTCTGTTCTCATATGCATTCAAAATCTGTAACAGGACCCTGAGTCATTAAATGAGGGGTTCTCCCATCCACAGCAGTCGTGTCTCAGAGTTACTAGCCCTGTTCTAGAAAGCACTGGAGGCCAAGGAATAATCTCAAGTTTCCTGCTGTACCTGGGATGGCTACTGCCTGTTGTTAATAACATACAAAATTGCTTTAAACTCAAGACATCCACACCAAGAACACTTATTCCTTGTTTCTGGGGACAGGGAGAAAGGGGAGCAGACTATGAGTTATAGGCCTTACGCTACAGGAACAGGCCTCCTTCCTTTGCTAGTAAAGCAGACTTGTCTAAGCAGCCAACTTTATGCCCCACAGCTGTGTGGGCAGGCCAGTTCTTGGGACTGTGGCTCCTTACCTGCCATCTTCTGCTCACTTTTGGTAGGTACAAAGATGATGCAGACAGCCCCACAGAGGATGGTGAGAAGCCCCGCGTGCTCTACAGTCTGGAATTCACCTTTGATGCCGATGCTCGTGTGGCTATCACCATTTATTGCCAGGCGGTGGAGGAGTTCGTGAACGGCATGGCAGTGTGAGTCCCTGGGCAGCTCTTTGGGTTCTACAGGCTTTGCAGTATCCTTTCCATTGGCTCAGTACACACAGCCTTTCCCTTTCCTGCAGGGCATTGGGCTGAAAGGTCCCCGCTGCTGATGGTGGCTTGGTCTTTCTGGTGATCAGCCCCCTCCAGAAGCCTCCATAGACCTACCTCCTTTATAGAGAGACACCCAGCACCCGGAAAACTTCAAGAGATTGGGAGTTCTATGCCAGGAGCTTGAGCAAAGACCAAATATATGCATTTTGTTATGTCACAAAATTATGATTTTGAACTTTGGAGATTTTCTTTAAAATATGAACAGTGACACTCTTAGGAGTTTGCACTCTGCAACCACAGCATGACCTCAGCAGGGCGGTCTCAGCAAGAAAGTCAACCCTGCCCTGAGTGGCTTCACAGATGGGTTGAAGCAGAAGACCTTAGAGAAGCTCAGATATGGATTTGGGAGGGAGGAGGACTTTGAGTGTTTTTCAACTCTGCCTGCTTTATGTGATCAGAGCATGTAAATTCTTATACCGAAGTTACCTCTGCTGGGAATGAGGTTTGGGGAGTTCAGCTTGTATGGGTGCTGTCTTTGAACAGCTCCCCATACAGTATGGGGCATGGTAGCTGCTCACAGCTAGCTGCTGGTTAAGAAAACTCGAGGCTTTCCTCTAGGACTCAGGACTGGGCCTGGGCCATCTCAGATCCCTCCTGAGTGGTGCACAGTAGGGCGGTAGTGACTTTCCTACACTCGGTTTTGTGAGGCTCCACTGTGGCCTAAGCAGTGGGCTACTAAGTTACTTAATGTTAACAGTACTCCAGTGTGTGATGACTGTCAGTAGGGAGTGTTCCAGTGGCCAGCATAAGCCCTGGGGTGAACTACCAACCTGCTACAGCCTGAGGCAGTATGACCCTTGTGTTGTAGTAACCTCTCTGGGCCTCCACTGTGATGACAGTTGAGAAGTAGAGCTCCCGTTTCTGAGTTGTCCTTGGGAGTAGCTGCCATAGCAGATGAGCCCTGGATTCAGGTGCTTTGGAGCTGCTCCAGAGGAGGTGAGGACCACAGTGCAGTGGGCTCCCACGCAGCCCATCCAGATCAGCAGTTCTCTGTTGTGCCCTATGAGATATATAAGAACAGTATCCTGCTGGGCTAGATAGATGGCCAGCTAAAGATGGCTGCCCAGAAGTCCAGTCCTGGTAGACCTTTTCTGAGACCTGCATGAGGCCTGTTTGCCTCCCATGTAGCTGGCTGGCATGACACCAGCACCAGATCACCAAGACAGAGAAAGAGGAGGCTCCAGGCCTTAGAGACTGTGCTTGGAACTATAAACCTGGCCAGCAGGAATTCTGTGTCCTGAGTTACAGGACAGGCAGTCCTCCTATTCCTTTCTTGGCCCCCTTAACTTTCTGTCAAGAAATTTGAAGTAGGGTTCTGGAGTCCCACAGCATATAATTGAAGGCCAGAATACTGACATTCATGTCTTGGGCTGGTCTTTTCAGTATGCTCAGGCTGGACCTCCCTGTGGGGCTCCCTCCCACACTGGCACTGACAGTCAGGACAGCAGGGACGTCACCCAGCTTCTCAGGCTCTTTCTGAGTGTGGCCTTTGTCCTAGAGACCTAGAGAAGCCCTGGGACAGTACACATGTGGGGTGGGAACAGCCAGGGTCATGGCCTGTATTCGTGAATGGGGACACTGGTTCAGCTCTCTTGTTTTCTAATGATCAGCCTGGGGTATGAGATGCGCTTCTGCATGAGGGAAAGGATGGTCCTTGAAGCATCGTGGGGACTAGCAAGACAGGAAGATAGTCTCTGAGTCACTAGAGTAGAGCTTCAGTGGACCAGCATGGTGCCTCAGGAACATTCCACTCAGGAGGAGGGCAGGACGTTTCAGAACATGACTCACATTGAAGCGAAGGCCTCACACTGTGTGGGAACGCCTGAGAAGCAGGCAGCTGGGAGCAAGGATTGGGACAGGGAGTGCTGCACTATGATCACTCAGAAAAAGCAAATGCACCAAACACCTAGTGGGCATGTTCTTCCCATCCAGAAGGCAGCAGAGATATCAGGCTGGTGTGAGCCCTGGAAGAAATAGCCACTTGATATGACTGGGCAGCCTCATGGTGAGCAGAGTTGGCAGTGGGAGGCTCTTGTAAATGCAAGGGCCACTTGACCAAACGGGCTGCTTCCTGTTTCTATCTGGGATGGCTGAAGCTCTCAATCCCTATAGATCAAATGGCTGCCAGTTCAGGGAAGTAACAGGAAGTGGGAGGCTGGGTGAGGGACCCATGGCTTCTCAGTAGTCAGATGGCTGCCTCCCTCGCTACCCTCAGGTACAGCTGTAAGAACCCTTCTCTGCAGTCTGAGACCGTCCACTACAAGAGAGGCGTTAGCCAGCAGTTCTCCCTGCCTTCTTTCAAGATTGACTTCTCCGAGTGGAAGGATGATGAGGTAATCCTGGGGAACGCCCATGGTGCACAGACATACATGCAGATCAAACACCCATGCACATAAAATGTGAAAAGGAAAACAAACGAGCATGTCCTCTGGCTCCCTCTGGTGGTAGGCGTGTGTCCTCTTCCACTGTCACTTGTCCTGGGCTACTCAGAGGGAGCTCTATAAGCATGGGGGATACCATGGGGAGAGAGGAGGACAGACCCACAGTGACTGCACACCATCCCCAGCCACTGGTTCTGGGCTGAGCTCACCCAGCACAGCTGGCTCCTTCCAGGACACTGGAGTGAGCTGACGAGAGCATGAGAGTGCCTGGAGGCACTCAGAGTGCACGCAGGCTTGCTGCTCATCAGCGTCCAGCCTCAAGTGGACGCCAGGCTCTGCTCTTGTAGCCAGCTTACCTGACTAACACCTGAACAAGCAGTTCCTGCAGGAGAGGCTCTTCTTGGTCTTAGCTTATGACTTCATAAGGGCAGCATGCTGCCAACATCGGCATTGGCGGGAGCTCTCTGGAGTGGCTTCTTATGTCCCAGTTTGTGGGAAATGCTCTTCTAGGTGATGTACCCACCCTGTGGTTCCAAAGTGTCCCTGCCCAGCCTGTTGCTGTGACTGCCCACATGGCCATCTGCTGCTACCCTTCTATTGCCTGTATCCTAATTCCAAACAGAGGAGGAATTGTGTTGAGTCAAACATGTTGTCCCAGGCATTGGGCTCAGCGTTGCACTTAGAGCAGCTTCTGTTCCCCTAGAGATGAGAAGCAGGCTCAGGTTGAGTTTGTTCACTCAGGTTGAGTGAATGACCACAGGACTGAATTGGAAGCCAGCATTCTGGGTATGGCTTCATTCCTGCACTGTGATGGAATGTCATAAACAAGGCAACCTTTAAAGGATACCTTTAATAAGGGGCTTCCTTACAGTTTCAGAGGGTTAGTCCATGACCATCACAGTGGGAGCATGGCAGCAGGCAGGCATGACGCTGGAGCTGGAGATGAGAGTTCACATCTTAGGAAAAGTTTCATGCAGAGAGACTGGGAGGGTACGGGTTTTTGTTTGTTTGTTTTGTTTTGGGGGGTTGGCTTTTTGAGATGGGGTTCTCTTTGTAATAACTCATAGAAATCCGCCTATCTCTGCCTTCCAAGTGCTGGAATTAAAGGTGAATGCCATCACTGCCTGGCTTGGAGTCAGAGAGAGAGGGGGAGGGAGGGAGTGTGTGTGTGTGTGTGTGTGTGTGTGTGTGTGTGTCTAGGCATGTGTGTAGATGAGGTTAACATTGAACTCACAGAGATCTGCCTGCCTGGGATTAATGGTGTGCACTACTATTGTTTGAGACAGGGCCCTTTTGCCTCTGCCTCCTGAGTAACTGGAGTCAGAGATGTGCACTACTCTATCTGGCCCATTGACCATTCTTCCAGTAATGCCTTAGTGAGAGTAAATGGAAATGTCTCTGCTTTCCTGAGATACCAGGAGGGTTCTGGAGACTGGGTAGGCTGAATTTTGTCCCTTACAGCTTTGTGACAGGAACAAACAGGAACTGAGAGTGTTTCCTGGAAATGGCCTACAGGTGTGGATCAGGTGACAGGTACTGCTCTACTATCCGGTGCAGGGTGAGAGCCAGGGACTCCAGGACAGTAGGTCCTTGTGAAGAGATGGGGACCTGTTCTATCCCAGGCTGCTGTCGTGTGGTGGGTAAGGATGGAACCCTATCTGGGAGAAGGCAGCTGCTGGCCTAGAAAGAGAAGCGTGGACCAGGCAGTCTCTCTAACTCGTTGCTCTCATTCCGTCTCTGGTGGGGCTTAAGCCAGACACTTTTCATTAAGCAATTATCTAATGAAATTTCACCTAAAACAGGAGACGGGACGACAGCACTGCTCACAGTGTTCACAGTGTCAAAACTACCCATGGATCAACAACTTAGGAATAGACAAATACAATGTGCCTTACCCACCGCCTAGAATAACTCTGCAACATAAGAAAGGAATGGAATTGTGAGTGAAATTAGAAAACATGCTCAATGAAAAAGCTAGGCATAAAAAGATAGGCTGGGCAGTGGTGGTGCACGCCTTTAACCCCAGCACTTGGGAGGCAGAGGCAGGTGGATTTCTAAGTTCGAGGCCAGCCTGGTCTACAGAGTGAGTTCCAGGACAGTCAGGACTACACAGAGAAACCCTGTCTCAAAAAAACAAAACAAAACAAAAAGATAGACACTAAACGGTCCACTGTAGGAACTGTCCAGAGCAGGCACACCCACGGCTATGGAAAACACATGAGTAGTTGTCAAGGACAGAAGAGGTGGAATTTCTGTTTGGAGAGGCAGTCAGGAGCTATAAGGTATGTGTGGTTTAGTGGCCCTTAGTGTCCTTGATTCCATCTGTCTGCTCCAGCTCAGGCTGACCAACTCACTACCTGATGTCTGTAGACCTGACCATTTTTGCTTCCTTTCCTCAGCTGAACTTTGATCTGGACCGGGGTGTGTTTCCAGTCGTCATCCAGGCTGTGGTGGACGAAGGAGATGGTGAGCATTGTTGGTCTTTCCTCATCTTCAAGTGTGCAGAACCTATGGGAAGGAAGTGGCTTCCTTCTCCCTGAGTCATCAAAGGACCTCCTCTTCTGGAAACAGGGTGTCTGTCATAGCCCACATATAGGTTCATTGCTGTGCAACAGCTTGGGAAGTGGAATTTGAGATGAGGGCAAGGACAGGAGTGGACTCTGGGCCCTGCCAGTGCTGTAGGGAAAGGGAGAAAGTCCCAGCCATGACTCACGTTGGCCTCCCTTCTCTTATCTCACTGCTTTAGTTGTGGAAGTGACTGGCCACGCTCATGTGCTCTTGGCTGCCTTTGAGAAGGTAAGTGCCATCCTAGCCACCACCCTGTAACCTGGGAGCTTGGGCAGGCAGTGGTGAGGCAGAATGTTCTAGACAAATGCCAGCCCCGTAGGACCCTCAAAAACCTGCCAGCACAGGCTAGGGTGCCTGAATGGAGACCCCTGCCACAGACTAGCTTTCCTTCCTCCAGCCACCATCCTTTTCCACCAGGTTCCGTATCCTCGTGTACCACCAGGCACTGGTCACATCCTGGCCTGGTATGTGTGTCTACCTCACTTATGATGTATTCTTTTCTTTTCCTCCTGCTGGCTGCAGCTTGTAGTTCAGGTAGGGATAGGCAGATTTCCATCCCCACAGGAGGCTTTTCCTGATCGCTGTGGATAATTGTTTAATGTTACTACTTGTGTCAGGGTAGAAGTGGCCTTGAACTTGTCACCTCAGAGCTAGCTGACACCACGTCTGCAGTGTAGACGCTCGGTGAACAGTGCTGAGGTGGATGAGGATCTGCCGCCTGCTACAACAACCCCAGGCCTATACACATAGATAGTTGTCCTCATCTGTCAGAGGTTTGGGTGTTATGTACCTGCTGATAACATCCCCCAAAGACTCCACCCTCCCTTAGGCCCTTTGCCTTTCCATAGCGCTGCAGCTAAAAACATAGCACCAGGCTGGAGCCGAGGGTACAAGGACCCCAACAAGAATGGGTTGGGATTATTTGGGAGATAATCTCACATCTCATTTTCTGCTGACTCATCTTGAGTCCTGCTGACTTGGGGTTCTTCACCAAGGTATGCTTTCAGTGCAGAGCCCATCCTACTGTGACCCAGGTCTCTAGATCTCTGGGATCCGCACAGCTTTGCCAGTTTGTAGTAAGCCTTGGAATGCTCTTTTGGGCCAGAAGTGCAGATGACATGAGTGAGCTGGCCCCCACTTCTTGAGCACCCCATGTTTGGACCTTTGTTGGGAGAAGTGCTCATAGCAGGATCTGGTGAGACAGATGGGCTGTCCCTCAGAGGTATTTATTCAGTGCTTGCAATTTAAAGCTATGTAAAAAAACTTTGTTTTGTAGTACAATGTTCTAGAGATTTCTATAAGTATCCACAAAGTTTAATAGACAACCCCGAGTGCTGGTCTTGATTGACTCAGAGTGTAATTAGTGTCATTACAAAAACCTCAGCTCTAAACCCCTATAAACTTTCCCAACTTTGAGAGTCTGTTTCCCTAGATATCACTAAACACTTCTGTTTTATTCCATTTTGTCCTTACATTTTTAGCTTTCTGAGTGTGCTTTGTGTCACCTTCCTCACTATGCCATGCCCGAGAACTTTTGTATTCTTGCTTCTGCGGTGCCAGGAAGTAGCTTGTCACAGTGAGAGTGTGGCTGAGCAGCTTCAGCCTGTGCATGCCGAGAGCCGCTCAGGACTGTTGGGTTCTGCAGGAGTGTTGAAGGTGCTCCAGGCACTGTAGAAGGCAGGCATGTGGTCACAGATGCAGGTACTGTGGCCTGGCTCCTGTCTTCACCCTCTTATTTTCAGCCTTCACCTAGCTGGGCAAGAGTGCTGGGAGGGGCCGGTTTGAGATTAACTGTGTCTCTCTCCTGCAGCATGTGGATGGCAGCTTCTCCGTGAAGCCATTAAAGCAGAAGCAAATTGTAAGTGCCAGACATCATGGGCCTCTGGGTTGCAAAACACACATAATGCACCTGTGAACACATGCCCAGACTCCATGGGCTGTTCTTTCTGGACATGGGTAGCTGCTTGCTTGAGTCTGCCCTGTTGTACTCTGGGGTATTGGAGTTTGTGTTTTGTGTGTGTCGGTTACATAGCTACTTGGTGCTACAACAACTTATGTAGATCCCAGCGTCCTGCCCAGTTTGAACCATGGTGCACGGATTGTAGTTAGTTCTTGGTGAGTGTTTGCTAAATGAGTGGGTAGAGGAACTAAGGAAAAATGGGAAGCAGAAATATGGCAGCTGCCTCTTGCTTAGAAATTACTGGAAATAGAGCAGCACTGGGAAAAGACTTTAATAGACAGTGTCAGCATGTGACGGGAGGAATCCCAGGATACAGGGGAGACTTGGGGTAGCTTTTCTTGGAAATCACGTTTTGTGATCTTACATAGGACTCCATTTGAGACTTCGAGACCTTTATCATGAGATTGATTGACAGGTAGAGTCTGTGTTCCAAGGCTATGGTAAGCAGTTGTCCTGTGTATAGCTACCTAGATAACAGAGACCTGTTTAAAGTTACAGGATAGGATAGAGTTTATTAGCCTTTAAAGAAGAGACAGAGTGAATCCTGCTTGGTAGGTTCAGATCCTAGTGATATTAGGTAGGCAGAAGACCCTACTTATGGTTGGGGCACTTGTCCCCTGAAAGCCAGCTAGTAGGATCCTGGCTTTCTGGAGGGATGCCGTGGTCCATGGAACTTGGGAATCAGTAACAGGACACTTTGGGACAGGTCAGCATGAGGCCTTAAAGTCAAAAATGACTGGTTTTGTGTCTAAGACTAGACATGACTTTTCATGTCTTGTGGAAACAACAGTCACATGGCTTGCTTTCTGCTGCCTACAGACAGCAGCTGTAGCCCTCTTATGAATGACAGAATGGGTCCAAAGTATTTGCTCTCTGGCAGTGGGGATGATTGTGGGCAGCTTGGAGGTGGGCCTTCTGGGATGGATGGATGCATGGTTGGATGGTTGCATAGATGGATGGATGCATGGTTGGATGGTTGTATAGATGGATGGATGCATGGTTGGATGGTTGCATGGATGGATGCATGCATGCATGCATGGTTTGATAGATGCATGGATGGATGGATGGATGGATGACGGATGGATGCATGGATGGATGGATGGATGGATTCATGCATGGATTCATGCATGCATGGATGCAAGGATGTGACTACTGACCCCATTTTCTACTCTCTGAGTTTCTAGCTGAGCTCAGCACAGGGCAGGGTCTCCTGCCTCTTGTTCCTGGCATCTACCCTTCCTCAAGAGGAGGGGTTCAAGTAGTCTCACAGATTTTCTAGCCACAATTTCCCTGGGACATGTGGAGATGATCTAGGTAGAAAAACCCACTAATGGAGACTGACCAGACCCCAGCACATCTTTCTGCTCTGTAGGTGGACCGGGTCAGCTACCTGCTGCAGGAGATCTATGGCATCGAGAACAAGAACAACCAGGAGACTAAGGTGCGTGCTTGTGGGCAACTCACCTGGGCTCCAGGCTAGCCACATGCCTAGGTTTCCATCTGCCTTTCAGAAGCCTACTCACTGGGTAACTTGCTGAGGTTTCCTAGGCCCAGAACCCACAAGGTTTGATGGGAAAGAGGCCTTTCCCTAGAGGGTTAGGGCCCATGCTCCCTCATTTTTCCTTAATTCCTTTTTAGCAGTTAAGCCAAGTAGAGTTTTGTGTCTCTGGGACTGACTACTTGAAAACAGCAACTGAAACAAGGACAGTTCATTCACAGATTTACAAGTGCCAGTATACCATGCAGACAGTGAGGTGGAGCAAAAGAGCTCCTGTCATGATAGCCAGGAAAGAGAGACAAGAAGGGCTAGGCACAAGCTCCCTGGCTCTCCAAGCACTTGCCTTTAGTGGCCCACTTCCTCGAGTTCCCAGAATCTTCCGATAGCTGGGTGTCAGAGCCTCCAACACATAAGCCTTTTAGACAGACACTTCATACATCCCAATAACAGCAGAAGACAGCCATTTTTTGATTGTGTTTTTTTTTTTGTTTGTTTGTTTTTTAATGTTTTGTCCTTTCTCCAGCGTGTTTGAATCACTAAATTGTCCTGGCAGCCTGGGTCCAGCGACCTTCTGTCTCTTCTTCCCATGTAGACAGGACTGCATTTGGGCTTTTCCTCATTGGCTAAACTTTCCCTGTCTCCTGGTTCCCAGCTCCTCACAGACAGCTCTCTAGACTGGTAGGCAGACAGACCTTCCAGACAGTTCTAGAAGCTGATGGTGGAGGTTCAGCAGGACCTGGGAAATGCAGCAGAATAAAATGGGAACCTGGTTGCTTCTTGCATTATTATTTTAAAGATTTAATGATGTAAATCAATTTGTTGACTATTTTATGAGGGCTAGAACAATTTTTTTTCACACGTGTATATGTGTTTGTGTGCGCGCGCGCGTGCATGTGCGTGTAAGTCAGAGGACAGTATATGGGAGACAGTTCTCTCTTCCACAATGTGAGTCCTAGTGGATTGAACTCAGGTTGTCAGACTTAGTAGCAAGCATCTTTACTTACTAAGCTGTCTTGGTGATCCAGCCAGACCTCCAGGTTTTAAAGCCTTTGAAAGTCAGCTTGGTGTGGTAGTACACACCTGTAATCTCATCTCAGCACACAGAAGGCAGAGGCAGGAGGAGAGAAAGCTGAAAGTTTGAGACCAATCCACTGTACCTAGTGAATCACAGGTCAGCCAGAGCTAATAAACAAGACTAGAAGCAACACCAACCTTGATGTGGCATCAGGAGAGCTGGACATGGCCCGAGCTGGGAAGGCAGGGCAGTTGGCCAGGGTGAGCCTGTATTGCTCACTTGAATTGACACCAGGGTCACTTAGTATTTTTGGCTTTAGGAGCCACCTGTGATTTTTTGTTTGTTTGTTTTTTGTTTTGTTTTGTTTTTCGAGACAGGGTTTCTCTGTATAGCCCTGGCTGTCCTGGAACTTACTCTGTAGACCAGGCTGGCCTTGAACTCAGAAATCCGCCTGCCTTTGCCTCCCAAGTGCTGGGATTAAAGGCGTGCGCCACCACTGCCTGCCCCACGTGTGGTTTATTTGTTTGTTTTTAAAGATTTTTTTGTTTTATGTATGTGAGTACAGTGTCACTCTCTTCAGACACACTGGAAGAGGGCATCAAATCCCATTATAGATGGTTGTGAGCCACTATGCCTTTGCTGAGAATTGAACTCAGAACTTCTGAAAGAGCAGTCAGTGCTCTTAATCGCTGAGCCATCTCTCCAGCCACCACCACTACCACCACCACCCCCCCCCCCCCGCCTTTGTTTTTTAAGATAAGTTCCCTATGTAACTCTTGCTGTCCTAGAACTCACTGTGTAAAACATGCTGGCCACAAGTTTAAACAGATCTACCTGCCTCTGCTGAGTACTGGAACTAAAGGTGTGTGCCATTACACCAGGGTAGCCATCTGCTTGCTCGCTTGCTTGCTTCCCCTCCCCTCCCCTCCTCTCCCCTCCCCTCCCCTCCCCTCTCCTCCCCTCCTCTCTCCTC